TGTTTAAAATTAATAGTTAATACATAATCAATAATAATTATTACCAATCTTGGGATGGATTAGGTTTGTACTACTATTACTAACTACTGCTGCTGCATCTATTACTACAACTACTACTACTGTTAATGCTGCAGCTACTTCTACACTGCTTGCACTACATTTAGTAAATGATTTACTTATATTAATTACCACTACAACAACTGGTGTCAGTTACTATTAGTATTGTAGCAAATGAATGCATTGATTATGATGGTGCAAAACCCAGCATTTTGTTTTCTGCACTAGTACTAGTGTCAAATATTATATTGCTGTATAATATACTGTAACAGTACAAATGACTTCAAAAACTTCAAAAAACTACATTGAACACTTGTGTACATTTTGGTAACATATTCATCATCATCAGTTTACAGTAGGAAATGTGACTAAAGTACTCCCTGGTAGTCTTACTGATGCCATCACAGTTTTTAATCATAATAAAACCCTCTAATTTTGCAAGGCATTTAAAAACTAATCTGCAGGATCATAATCATCTTCATATGAGTTTACCAAATGAAATCCCAGGATAATTCATTAAACTCCATATGTCAGTTTCAAATATAAGTATTGGCTGTTGTTACTTAATCACATGTCAGCTCCATTTTTTAAATAACTAGTGAAATGTACCCAGTTGCCCACTCACAGAAATATTTAAAAACGCCTGTATAGGTCATATGTAGTGATGACTATAAAGATCATGTGTGGTAATTTCTTAAGTTAGACAAAATTCAGTAAGTCCTAGAATCTTGACTGATAACATACACCATGTGTTATATAATTATTACCGTAAAGTTAACCTGGTCAACAAATGTTTAATGAAGTCAGATGTGTCTGCCAAAAAGTACAAAAATTGCATCTTAGCTGTAAACAGGCTCTAGGAATTTACATAACTTGAAGGAACAAAAAGAAGAAGATATAATTATTACATTAATGTGATTTTATTCAGGAAGGAAAATAAAGTTAATAAATTTGTATACGTACCAAAGTCTTTGAATATAAAGTTGTCATCCATTAGAACATTAGATTTTTGAAGAAAAAAGGTTAAAGGGGGGGGGGGGGGGAGGTGTTCCTTTCTTACTATTTGTCTATGTACAATCAGCTGCTTTAAAAAGATTACATGCAATTCCAGATATTAAGCTAATTCATGCTTATTTTTAAAGCAAACTGTTTTATTGGTTACAGATACTCCATTATAACATAACCCTTGACCCATTAGGGTCGTAGAGGTGTATTGATGGAAGCACTACCACTTAAAACTCGCCATCTTTCTCTATCTTCTGCTTGATGAATAAATGTATGCTAACTTAGTCCTGTCAATTTCTTGATGTTGTTATTCCAGGTTCTTCTTTGCCCTTCTCTTCTTTAACTACCCCCCAATGTTCCTTGAAGTAGTCTTTACAATCGAATCATGTCTCAACAGGTCCTTAAACCAAGCTAGCTTGCGATGTTTCACCACTGCCAAGAGAGGCTCCTGATGTCCTACAAATTTGTATATTTTGTCTCTGACATATTTATTCGTTTTGTGTTCTAAATAACTAATTCGTAAAATGCGTCTGTAGCATTTACATTTGAAATCCTGAATCTTTCTTTCCATTTCCACAGTGAGAGTCCAACTCTCACACCCATACAAGAAAATAGACAACACCAGCGATTTTTAAATATTTACCTTGACTGCGATGCTGATGATGCTATTTCACATCGTATTCAGCGGCGATATTGCTGCTGTTGCCATATCAAATCCTATCTCCTTTATTGAAAGTATTAAAAATAAAAACAGAAGTAGAATAAACACTTTTATATACGCACACCACACACATACACATTTAAAGATGTATACACATATATACATTTAAACATATACACATGTATACATTTACGCATATATAAATTTACACATATGTTGGGTGTTGAATTAAGAATCGACATCACAGAACTCGGGACACCCTCTTAAGCGCTCCATTCCCATCTTCAGCAGCAAGTGAAGAGTTAAAATTCCGATGGTACCAGTAACTGTCTGATTTTATATCCATCTCGCCTTTCCCCTGAGTGTCGAGCATCAGCCAGATCCCCTTGTAAATCCTTGCCGTGCTATTCTCTTCCGACCGTAATGATTTATCTCTTCCTCAGCACTGTTTACTCACTCCCAAAGGGCCCTCACATCATCCAGCCTATCATACATCAGTTCACCACCTAGTGGTGCAGAACCAGCCAATCTATCTGCCTCCTCATTTCCCAACACACCGGCACTGTTTACTCACTCCCACTCCGTCACATCATCCAGCCTATCATACATCAGTTCACCACCAAGTGGTGCAGAACCAGCCAATCTATCTGCCTGCTCATTTCCCAACACACTGGCATACGCAAGAGAAAATATCCAAAGGATGCTAACTACCCGGGACCTCTGAAGTGATACTTGCCACTTTGCATGGAGCATGCCTGTCTCCACCTTTCTCAGCATGCTCTGTGAGTGGGTTACAACTATGACGTGTGTACAGCTGATTCTGAAGCCAGCGGAAGGCAGCAGTGACTGGCTCCACCTCCATTTTCAAATGAGATGTTGTGATATCAGATGCGAGGCTTTGTTGCGCCAAGCGACGTCCATTCACCTTCGCTATGAACCCCCATGCACTTCGTCCGCCCCTCAACACAGAGCCATCTGTATATACAATCACATCACTTGGGCAGGAATTGTCATGAATCATTTGTTAAACTTCTGATTCTGCAGCACCAGCTGGCCAGTCCCTGCACTTACGGCTGCATTAGCGCAGTCGAAAAGATGCTCGCTTTCAAATCCAGCTGCGACTCGCCGCAGCCCACGGTCAGTGTTGCCCATCCAAGACTTTCCTCTTTTCAGTCTGTGACCCTTAGCTCTATCCAGGGCTTTATGCAGGAGGTGCCTCTTGTCCGCAGCTACTCTGAGATATAACTTTGCCTGCAGAACTTTGAGCCTATCTGCAGTAGTAGGCAGTGCAAGTATATATTGTATACATACTACCAGGGTATCTCTTGTACATCCCAGAATCACCCGCATGGCTTCATTCTGTGCTGTAGGGAGACATAGGATTTGCAGCCCATAGCAAATAGGACTAGCAAGATCTGTTTGCTTGAATAAATCTTCTGCAGTTAGAGAATGTAATTCTAGGATCAATTTACCATTGCGTTTTGTTTAATATACCATGGAAATAAACTACTCAACTGCTGTATTGTAGAAATGTCCATAGAACGAAGTCTACACCTGGGTGGCAATACTTCTTTAGTATGAGCTGCAGATATGAAATATAACAAGATTCTTGAGGTAATGTTTGGAACACTAGGGGAATAGCAGATATCAAATCATACATCTTATATAAATTGATATGCCCGGCTCTCTAGCGGAATTGGCTAAACCGGATTTCGCAGAGACCGGGTGACGTACTCCTTGTGGTCCGGGTTCAATCCCGGGGGTAGGCAGGAAAGCCACATTTTCTCCCAGATTTACGGTATTTACAATAGAATCAAGGCCGAAAGGTTGCGATATCCATAATACCGAGCCTAAGGGTTAACAACTCATGGCTTCTGGATACTAAAACAAACATATAAATTGATACAGACAGAGATTAATCAGGCATGTATTATGAACATTAGTGTAAGTCTGACTCTAGAAACAAATGCTTTCATGAATCCTTAAACTTTTCACCCCAGGAATGCTAAAAATGGGTTATGAAGCCTTAGAAGTTTCCAGAAAAAAATCCTTTAAATATTAACAATCAAATAACCGCCCTTCCCCTCCCCCCTCCCTGAGGCCAGTCATTCCCATAGTCACAGTGTATTGTACACAAATTAAATTTTAATAAAAGTGCAAGCCATAAGCGTGTAACTCATCATATACACTAGCTGTCACTGTACATTTCACATATCCACTGATACTGACAACCGACACATCTGTCATCCCAGTTTTAAGGCGTTTAACAAGGCCAGAGTGCACAGTTTGTAATTTATTTTTCAATTATTTTTGTATTAATTAAATACATCTAAAAAACAACTTGAGCAGTCATGCAGGATGTAATCAAGAGTTTCATTTGATGCTCTTTAATTGTAATTGCTGAAGTCTCCGAGATCCGTTTTATGAAAATACTCTTTGAGTTCACAGCATCCTGGTCTGAGTCAGAGGTTGCTGGTCTGTCTGTCTGTTTTTGCATATCTTGTTTGTATTATCAAGTTGTTTATTGCAAACTTCAGTTTGGTTTCTCTGCCTTATTTTTATAGCTTTTTCTTTATTTAGTGTCTGCTTCTTTGAAGAAGTCAGTACAGTTTGACTATTAAGGATCAGAAAAGCCGCAATAAAGTCTTTGTCCTATTTCTGCTGTCCAAAGAGTGTCTGTATTTGCTGTTAGGATGTTTAATGTAGATTTGGTTCTCCTTGCAATAACGGTCGCTACTTGGGCGGCGACAGCCGCTTAGTCGGAGTTCGGTCCCCTGGCTGCAGTGCAATTACGGAGTGGACAAGGCACGAATCACAAAACATAGTGAGTTCAACATGGCGTCTAGACCATGCGCTGCGACTCACATTAGCCTAACCCAAACCCTAACCCTACCCTAGCCCTAAGTATGTCATTTGTGTCGTTCCCTCTTTTCCACTCCGTAATTGCACTGCAGCCAGGGGACTGAACTCTGACTAAGCGGCCGTCCCCGTCCAACTAGCGACCGTTATTGCAAGGAGAGCCGTAGATTTTGATGTCTAATTTAAAAAAAGAAAATCTGTAGGATGAATATCTGTATAAACTAGTTAAATTTTTTTTTTTTTTTTTTTTAGTACTGTTATTTTGTATGTTTATTTGTAATTAGACATGAACTTTTAATTAATATATAGTTCTGTAGTTTATGAAAAAGTATCATTAATTGCTTCATATAGAGAGTATGTTTTTAATGAGGAAAAAATAACTAATTGTTGTAATACTTTCTGCTCAGGACTGTCTGTTATGTTTCGTCTACTCACTGATGAGGAGACACAGGATTTAAAATGGGAGCTTCACTCAGAGCTGCCAGGATCAGCAAAAGTGAGCTATATGTGTTGTTGTTAACTCTTGTATGATTTGAAGAATTAAGACTAATTGAAAAAGAATCTCTAAACAAACAAGTTAAAAATGAGGGTTTCAGAGTGGGGCATTTGTTGTTGTCAGAGTACCTTGTTGATTCAAGCTGTTTTCTATTACTTGAAGAATTCAGATTATTTGACTTAAAAAAAACAGGCAAAAATTGATAATTGTTTTGTAACAGTTACCTTTATAAATGTTGGTAGTATTAGATTTTAGTGTATAAAGAGACAACATGTATAAAAAACATTTGTAGGCTGAAGTGGACAATTCTGGTTGTCCATCTACTTATGGACTGTAGTCTTGTTCCAGAACCTGAATGTTGTGTGTACATTAGTTTTACAAACCTAGCTTATTAGTATGCAGCCTAAGGCAGCATCCAATTAGTTTTTACTCTTACTTGCTGGGGAGGCAGTGAGGCTAATCTTTTTTTCCGTACATTAGGGCAACGAAACCACACTTGAAGAAATATTCATGTGTTCTCCCCACCCCCCTCTCTGTCTCTCTCTCTCTCTCTCTCTCTCTCTCTCTCTCTTTCTCTCTCTATCTCTCTCTCTCTCTCTCCCCTCCTCCCCTTCCTTTTTTTTCACAACTGTTAAGCTATTTGATCAAATTTGAGGGGATTAATTCCACAAAGATAGCATCTGGCTCTGTGACTCAGAGACTAGTAAATGTGTTTAACATTTGTATGATCCTCAAGTTCTGTGGTTGGTGGTTTGCTGAAAAAAAACCTGTTCTTGTGATATTTGGACTGTATGAAAGAAGATGGGGCATCACCAAGTGATATTTCCAAAGAAAAGGTGGAAACACTGTTGCCAACCTTCATTGTGGAGAAGGAACAGCACATAATTTTTACAGAAAAATTGTATTCAAGATATTTTCACTGCAGCTGTCTGATGGTTTATGGTGTGTTTCATGTATTTTCATGGCTGGCTATTCTAGAAAATCCAGGCCGGCTTCATCAGACAGAAATGGATTCCCTCATTAAATTAATCACAAATAACTCAGCTAACCTTTATCTTTATGCTGATCAGTGCGGGAGTGTGCAGATTATCTGGCAGACAAGGCAGTTAAAATAATTGGCCTGGCATTGGACAGGAGTGGTATGATTGTCATTCGAAAAAAAATCATGATAAGAAAAAAAAGTTTAGTATTCTTGTCCAGGTTGATGAATATGAAGGTGCAACCTGAGGCAGCCAGACATGAAACATATTCACCAAGGGTGCAAGATATCTGATTAATCGATTGACTCAGAAAGGACGTGATCAGTTGTTTTACTCTTATATAGCTATAGAGGAGGAGATCGGAGCACCTGTGGCTCTGTCAGCCTGAATTATGTGTGATAGTCCTTCACTAATCACTGGTAATCTGGTAATCTTAGTTTCAGCTTCATAGCAAACAGGTTGCCCCATAGTTGCTCCGCTCCTGTGCCAACTAATCACTAATCATTAATGTATTTTCAGATCTATTATGTATTGTGCAATCACCTGGATGGCTTACTAGCTGGCTTTGAAGCCATTGTGGATCAGTGGCCAAATTGGACGAGTGTAATTCTTCGACCACAGACCCAAGACTCTGTGAGTGTTTTTATTATTTGCGTAGTTTTTTTTTTTCAATGTTGAGACTTTTAAAGCTTAGGAAAAAAAAGAGGGAAAAAGTTGATTTATTGAAATTCTGTCTTCCGTTACCTCTGTTGGCGTTTTTAATGTTATTTGAAATTCATTCTTCTTATGCATTTAAAACCTCACTTGTACATAGTTCCTAAACTATCTCATCTAAATCTCTTTAACTGTTTCTTTTGGTTCCTTCCAGGAGTTTTATATGTTTCACTGATCTCAGTCTTTAGTTTATTTTAGTTTACAGTATTGGTTGTTGCTTTCTGTATTGAAGAAAAGCTGGTCAAGCAGTTTTCCATAACTTGAGCCAGTGCATTCAGCTTTCTTTACAGTACGTTATTATCCTTTAGAAGAAAAATCAACATCCTTCTGTGCAGAGTAAGAAACACTTCTTATTTGATTTTCTGAAATTTGACTTGGCAGGTTGCATTTTGTGCCTGATATTTTTGGTCTGGAAGTTCAAGGAAATAAAAACTAGATATAAACTTAAACCATTTAGCTCTTGTTTCATTGCAGTGCTGCTCTATAGACCTGAAACATGGATAACAGCTAAAATATTTAACAATAAATTACAAACTTTCATTAACTGGTGTCTGTGCAGAATAGAGGATATTAAGTGGTATGATAGAATCACTAATGTGGAGCTTTTGGAGAGACATAAAAAACAAATTTCATTAAATGAAGCATGGGAGAAGCGATGTCAGTTTTGAATGGAACACATGTTGAGAAAAATTGAGGACAGATAACTAGAATGTCTTTACACTGGAACACATGTGGGCATAGAAATAAAGGCAGACCAAAATCACACGGTGAGGGAAACTAGAGAGTGTAGTTAAAAAAGAAGGAGAGGGCATGGGATGAGCTGCATGTAATAAGGATAGGATGACTTGGTCGGAGTTGGTTTAGGGCCTATGCTCCATTAGGGATACAGGGCAGAAGAAGAAATAGTAGAAGAAGTATAACCAACCCACTGGCAGCCATCTTTAGTCATCTGTTATAAAATGTCAGTTATGGCATTTACTGCGTATTGCTTTCCCCTTGGCCTCTTTAAAGCAATAAGAATGCCACATCATTGCTTGCATTGATTTGCATTTTATTGTTTAAAATCCTTATTGATTGTTCGCCATTTCCTTTTCTTAAATGTTAAATCGTTGTATTTTGTTGTACTTTAAAAAAAAAATAATGTATTTGTATGTTGTTAAGTCATAAAAATGTGGATACAATGTGAAAAGCTGCTGGTCCAGCCAGAAAAGATGAACAAATAAAAATGAAAAAAGAGAGAGAATACTAGGACTAAAACCAGTCTTACAGTTTATTAAAGAGCAATAGATGAGATGATTTGGCCACTGACAAAAATGCCCTGATACTAACTGCCACAGAGGACCATGCTGAAGAAGTACAGTGGACATAGAGCAAGAGAAAGACCAAGCAGGATAAGGAGCGATGGGCTTTCTGAAGGAAAAAAAGACTTAACTTATTTAACACCTTGAAAATAGCACACAGAAGACCATTACATCTTCCCCCAAACACTTTGATGAGATAAACAGAGGAACAAGAGAAGAAGAAAAAGATTCATATGTTGTTTTGCTTATGCATTTATTAACTCCTTCCATTTTATTGTACATTTTCATAATGTATACATTCACTGTTTTGCTTATGCATTCATTTAGTTATGAAAATGTTTCAGGTCCCGCATTATTTCCGGCATTACTATTTATGTCACACCCGCAGTACAACAGACTTCAAGTTTTTTATTCAGAGGCCATGTGTAGTAGATTGGACAAAGCCAGTGATATTTACAGGTATCTTTTTCTGAAAATATCAATGCATGCCCTACCTGTGCTTGTCTCTTTACTGTCACAGTAAAGTCTTTTGTTTTCTTTGTTTTCGGATTATCTGTCTTTCACTGTCTTTTTTCTTTTTTAATAGCTCTATACTTGAAAGCCATATTTGGTATGTGTAATGTCTGTTTAATCACAAAATCAGATATCTAAGCCTCGAAATTAGATGGGATCTAAACCAAGATGTTCGCCTGGCTCGCTAGCGTAGTTGGTTAAACTTGACTTCCTCTTCTTTCGTTCGCCTGAAATAAGTTGTCTATATCAGCAGTTTTGTCTCTTGTATAAATTTCACTGTCGTTGTTAGTTCATTCAGTGGTCCTTAGAGTTTACGTTCCACTGTTGTTCTTTCTGGCCAAAAGGTTTGCCTTAATGTGTCAAATTCGGTGCAGTCCTGGAGTACATGCTCTGCTGTCTGGGGCACCTTTCCACAGGTGCACATGGCTGATACACCTGTCTTAAATTTTGTGTACATGTGGTTACGTAATCGGTTGTGCCCTATTCTGAGGCTGAGGATAATGACTTGTTCTGGTCTGTCCATAATAAAATAGTCGTCTTGTGCTGGGGCTGGTGGTTTCCTGATCAATTTAATGATTCTTTTCTTTAAACTTGACTGCGCGGTGACCAGGTGACGAACTTATGGTCCGGGTTCACCCCCGCGGGCAGGCAAAAAAGTCACATTTCTCCCAGATTTACCGTATCTATCTGGGAATCAAGAGCAAAGGGTTAACATTAACAACTCATGGTTTCTGAATATATTTAAAAAAAAAAAAACATGTCTGTGAACAGATAATACAGGCAAATTTACAAACACTTGAGGCACCATCAGGAAAAAGAAGGATAAGAGATTAATAGCTGCGGGTAATATCTGCAAGTGAGAACTTCAGGGGCTCAGAATGCTGAAGATGAAGTAGGAGAAGATGAAAGAAATCATGGTGTGCTGGTGTGTACACTGACACAGTTGATAAGAAATGAACAAGAGGGAGACAGAGAAACAAACACCTAGGTAAGTGTACCATATTTCATGTTGAGGACAAAAACTGTTAATAAAGAAGTTATGATGTGTTTAGGCAATCATTTAATTGTGCCATCTCCGCAGTGAAGGTTCATGTAGTGCACTTTGAAAAAAATGCCGGGGTCAGACCTAAATCTTGTTGATGGCACGGCTCTCCTCCCACTGTCTGAATGTTATGAGAATTTTTATTTTTATTTCAATAAATAGTTTTCTAGCACATCATAGATTGTGGATATTTTGAAACACATTCAATAACCTTTGACTACATAGTCACACATTAAATTAGAAGAGAGCAAGAGGAAGACAAGGAGATAAGCCCCTAGATGGCTGTACCTCCGAATATCATTGAATACAGAAACAAAGACTGGTGATCATTTGAAATGGCAAACCGTGATCATCCTTGCTTATCATCATGATACATGATGATAATACGACCATTTATAGTTGAATAAACAAATGAATGAATCAAGAATCGACATCACTGCACTCAGAACATTCCCACACAGGCTCTGGCTCTTGCCTCAGTAGCCAACAACAAGTTACCATGCTAACAGGGCCAGTGTAGCCTGATTTAAAGTCTGTCTATACTTTCTCCTAAGGACCCTTTTTTTTTTTTTAAGTTCCTGATGTTTACTGCTATAGATGTAAATAAAAATTCAGTTTCTCAAGAATTTATCATCCCTTGAAACATTCGCTGCAGAAAATACAAAAAAAATATGCTAACCCTCCCACTTCCAGAATATTTGGTAGAGATGGTCACAGGGGGCAGTAACCACAATGAACAAAGCATGGGTGCATTACTTTCAAAGGTGTAAAATACCATGTTCTGACTGCCAACATATCTAACTGCTTATGCCCACACACTTTGCAGTTCTTCAGAAAGCTGGATCAAGAAAAAGATTGCATTTTTTAAATGTGCTGATACTTCCATTAATACACATCCACAACCCTAACAGTTCAAACTTTAAAAATATAAAAAATAGAATTTAAAAAAAAAAGTTTGAAAAAAATAATAAGAATAGTACTTTACGACTTGGGTCAAATGTAATATTTAAAAAAAGAAATTTCTCCAGGAATCCCATCATTATGACTTCCTTTCACCCAATGATTCTGGGGTGAAAAGGTTATGATGCTTGGGATTCCAAGGGAAAAGCCAGTCACATATCATGTGTTGTTTAGGACTGAAAAAAGTTAATCAGCATACAGATGAACACTCGAGTCCTCTTTGTGATACATTGTCAGCATTGGTACCATCTGTCCATGCATTGTATGACTGATATAAGTTTCTGTAAATTATTTCTCTAAAATTTCTGTCTAAAGGTATTCCCTATGATTTGGTTGGAGTTATACAAGAGAAAAGTAGAAAGGAACAAGGGGAGGTAACATCAGTGGAACATAGATTCATGTATGCATGGCTGAAAGAGGAGTTCCCTGAACCTGAAGTGTAAGTGAAACATTCAGTTAAGTGCTTCTTGTTTTGTGTAAATAGGATTTTGAAAAAAAAAAATATTTTTAAAAGGTTTCAAAGATGAACAGCTAAAGAAAAAAGAAGCTAGAGAATCCTTGATGGCAGTTATGAACTTATCTTCTTCTTCTTCTATTGGCCTACTGCCTATTGACATAGGAAGCATTGCAGAGAGGAATTGGATGTAGTTTATTATCTTTTGTTAATTATGAGCTCATTATTTGTATCAAACAGCAGTTTCTTTACAGAATGTCATTCTCATCCTGGCATACTAAAAGCCCACTTTCCTGCCTCATGCATTTTCATGCTCAGGGTGCCCTTGACATACTTTGTCCACTGTCATACTGGCTGGCTCCTGCCTCTTCTTCTGGAAGCCATATCCTACATAGTTATTCTCTTCAAACCATTACGGAATTCACTATTATTAATACGGAATAAGTTATAATTTTATGGTAGGATGACTTAGTCCGTAAACAGCTTTGCACTCTTTTCATGTAGCTAATTTTAATTTTATTTTGTTCAGATTTTTGTTAAAGAGAAAGACTATTTAATAATTCATAGAGAAATTTTCATGGTTCTGTGTTAAATTTGTTGCAACTTTCATTGTGTGTGTGGGGGGGGGGGGGGGGGGGGGTGGATGCTTTGAAATTTGAAGTTCTATCTGTCCTACACCACCCTAAAAAAAGTGGTAAATACAGGCCAATGAAGACATTGATTTCTCTCTGTCCTACACCGCCCTAAAAAGTGGTAAATACAGGGCAGTAAAGACAGTGATGTTCCGTCTGTTCTACATCGCCCTAAAAACGGTAAAAACAGTGCTTTGAAGTTCTGTAATACATCAACCTTAAAAAAATGGTAAATACAGGGCAGTGAAGACATTGATGTTCTCTCTCCTACACCGCCCTAAAAAGTGGTAAATACAGGGCAGTGAATACATTGATGTTCTCTCTCCTACATCGCCCTAAAAAGTGGTAAATACAGGGCAGTGAATACATTTATGTTCTCTCTCCTACACAACCCTAAAAAGTGGTAAATACAGGGCAGTAAATACATTTATGTTCTCTTTCCTACACCGCCCTAACAGTGGTAAATACAGGACAGTAAAGACATTGATTTCCCCTCTGTCCTAAACCATCCTAAAAAGTGGTAAATACAAGAAATTAAGACATTGACATTTCACTCTGTCCTACACCACCCTAAAAAAGTGGTAAATATAGGAAAGTTAAGACAGTGATGTTAATTTAGCATGCATAAAAGCATTAAGAATACATTTGTGAATTTCTGGAATATTTGAACAGAGTCCCTGAAGATCTGGAACTGACCGTTTTACAAGAAGACCATGCAGAAGATATATGTAATCACTGGAAACATTACCGTACCAACGATGGTCTGGTGGACTACTTTCGCCAGGTGATCAAACACTTTGACAGCAGTGCTATTGTCACCACAGAGGGTCGACTGGTAGCGTATATATGCATGCAGTACAACGGCTCAATGGCTAACCTTTTTGTTGATCCAGAGTTTCACAGTGCTAACCTGGGGGTCATCCTGCTGAAGGACCTGACTCGAAAGCTCCTTGTCAAGCACCAGACAGCTTATGGTTTTATAAAGACAAAAGATTCTTCGTTCATATCTACATGCCAGAATATTGGGTTCTCATGGGTGGCACAAGGCAGTATGTCCTGGGTCCATTTTCGGCCCTTTAGTCTAAAACCCGGTTCTGGGGTTCCAAGAGTCCCTTCTGCTAGTATTTTCTCCGAAACGACCGGAGAGGAGAGAAACATAGAAGAGCTCAAAGATTTGCATCTCAATGCTTTGCCATTATCTTGTAATGAATGTTCAGGCATTCCTGTAGCAAACAAAACAGTCTGTGTGCATGTGAGCACTAGTTGAGAATATGGTTCAGTGGTTGTTCTCCCCTCATTTCCTCCATCTCTCTTCTTCTTTCCTGTCTCTCTTCTCCCTCTTTCTCTTCTCCCTCTTTCTCTTTCCACCTCTCTCTTCCTGTGTCTGTTACTCGCTCACACTCTGTCTCCGTTACGCGCACACACCACACACTTTCTCTCTCTTCCTCCCTAACAGAAGATCAACAATTCTTATGTTTACTTTTATAACTAAAGCTGCCCCATTTTCTAAGCATGGGAAAACGTGAAAATTTGTTCTGATAATCATGCCTTTTATATTTTAAAAATGATGTCCAAACTACGAAGTGTTACAATCCCCAGACATTACTCAGTTGTTGTTGTTATACGGTCGTATTTATTTATGTCTTTGATTTTCATTTTGATTATTGTTGGGAAACATAATGCAACATATTCACACTGATTTATTATTAAATCTCATTTAGATATTGAAATCGCTTTAACTTCATAGTGTAACAAATGAAAAATATGAATGCACCCAAAATGAAAATTCCAACCCTGTTTCGTATATGATTCGTCACAATATTGTTTATTAAATGAATAATTTAATTGTCACAATAATTATTCTTTGACATTCAGTCTATAAATTTAGATAGTAGAATATCTCTAATTCAAGGTAATCTCAACAGCGAATTGAATTTCTATATTTTGCTACAGACACTTAAGTGTATTTGTTGATTAACTCAACACGTAAGGAGGGATGGCTATGTTATCAGGGCAGATTTCCTAACCAGGGACCAGTTGTGGCTACTAGTAACCATTGTATGTGTAGTCACATAGGCTACTCGATTGATGCATTATACTTCTGTAGCATAACATTCATCATGCTTGAAGACTTTATAGTTAGAACAAATTTGGTTGCAATTGTGTAGAAATCTCCATAAGCAACTAAAAACAAAAAAGTACTCATAACTAGAACTAATTTAACAACCAAAGAGGGGAACTGGAAGTAAGTAATTCTGGGCTGACTGTAAAATGTCATATTTGCATTTGTTTCAAGGTTCAGTCCATTTGATTCATTTCATGTTTCACGGTGTCCCAGTTTGGAAGTCAGGTGAAGACCCAAACTGTGAAAGCACTTTTAATAAATATATCACGTAATGTGAACCTGTTGGCACATGTGATCACAAACTGCTGCTCTTAAGTCCGTTGTTTCAGTAAATGTTCTTCAAACGCAGCATTTTATGTTTGTACGGTTTATTTCAGCCTCACAATTCTGATAATTACTAAGTTGAAATTGTTTACTAGTTTTTAAATTTATAAGTATAATCACTTAGGATAAAGATGCTACTAGTTGTATTAAAACCCAACGCTAACCAAAAAAAAAAAAATTTTTGAATAATTTTTGTGTGGAAGGTTTACTAAGTTTTAAATTTCTCTTCCAGAAAAGATAATTTACGGTTTTTTTAAAAATTAGGTAAACTTTTTCACGATTGAAATGATTGCATTGGTCAATGTTGCCCTGATTTGCCCAGTTGAGTTAGTTTCAAATTTCATGATGAAATAAAATATGCTACACACATATAATAATATTTTGCCTTTGTTTACATTAAATGTTAGTTTTGTAAACAAATTGTTTTGAATTTTGACTCCATAGATTATGTCTCATGCATTCCAGGTAGCAGATCCCACACCCTATATTTATTTATTTACTTAGCTAGTTTATTGTAGTTTTTTTTTTTAAACAATGCATACTCTATATTTTGTTTTCTGAACTTTTAACCTTGAACATTTTTGCTCTGAGAAATCTTTTACACAAGAGACATCTTTATAAGTTTCTTTTTTGCTCATTTAGTTATTTAGTTCAAATAAAAATATTGATCTCATTTATTCCCATCAGGCATCTTTTGTTGTGCAACTATTCCTTTTGCTTCATTTGTGTTTATAAGAGAAGCAGCAATTACAAGTTCCCAGATTGTTAGCTTATACAAGACAAGGAAATAAATATACTAAGCTTGATAATTGAAAATGAGTGCCACGTTCATTTGACAATTACATAGAAGAAGAGAATTTAGTGTAAATTGAACTATTTTTTGGGTGTGTTTTATTTATATGATGTGAGCTTTAAATAAACCAGAACATTTACATCAAGTGCCAGACATTTATTACTTGAGAATTGTGAATACGTTGAACAGATAGATATACATTCTTGAACACATAAGATCAGATTTGATTTACCTCACTTTGGTTTTCTAGAAAAAAAAGATAATGAAATGGTTTGAAAAAAACATTGAAATACTTAGCACATTTTAAGAAATTCCTAATAGGAGGTGTCTCTATTTCCATGTGAATCAAAGAAAATGAGCAGGAACAATCAAACATGGCTAGTGCTGAAATGTACGGCATGTTTGCAATTTTATGTTTACATAAAGATGCGGTTTGAAGATTTTATAAAATGGCTTTGAGTTCTAGTGAAAATCTAAGCATGCTGATTTCCTGTAGTTAGCTTATAATACATTTCTTTAGCATTATATGATTTAAATTAATAAACCTGAATTTTTATTTTTATTTCTGAAACTGTAAAATCATACGTAAAAATACACAGTTGCATATAAAATACATGGTTCTTTTAGCACATCATTATTCTGGTAAAAAATAATGTCTCAGGATTTTATTTTATGAACAATTATGTGAACAGACTCAAAATGTAATGACGGGATGAGAACTCAATAAGCAAGACCTACATTTGAGGCACATTGGACTGGCTCAACATAGCACTCAGTAAATAGAAGTTCTAGTATTGTCCAGTCAGTAATTGGTGCCTTCAAAAGTGTTGACATAAATGAAGAGTGCGAGATGCGGTTTGCAACATCTTCACTTGAGTGAAAAGCTTCTCTGTATGAGAGTATGTCTTGCAACATCTTCAATTGAGTGAAAAGCTTTTCTGCATGAGAGTGTGTTTTGCAACATCTTTATTTGAGTAAAAAGCTTCTCTGTATGAGAGTGTGTCTTGCAACATCTCATGTTGAATCAAATAAATGGTAAACCTAGTAACACATGCTCCCCTGCGTATCTGAAGCTTGTGGGTTCGGGTCCTGTGGAAGCCAGACTTTTTTCAAAATTACTTTGGCTCCCAGGTCGACCTAGCTTTGAGTGCAAACCAGGTGCAGTCCTGGGAAGTAAAGATGGCCGGCGTGATGCTGACCACATCACCCACTAAATGTGCAGATTGGTCTATAAAATATGTCTAGCCCTATGTGCCCAATTTGCCTAAAGGCGTGGAAAAGGGTCCTTTACTTTACTTACCTGGTATAATAAAATTGTCTCTGTCAAATTGTTTTTAAAAAAAAACTTAACTGCTTCCTAGTGTAGCTTACTTTTGATATAGAAAATGACATTTTTTTTTTAATAGAAGGATTTTCAAAATAGGACTTGGGTCTGAGTATTGGATGAAATGGGTTCATTGTTTATTATTGCACATTACATGCAAGCTTTTATGGTTTTTTTTTATTCATTGCTGTTTGGAAAGTTTCTTCTTCTTCTTCTTTCGTTCGCCTGAAATAAGTTATCTATATCAGCAGTTTTGTCTCTTGTATAAATTTCACTGTCGTTGTTAGTTCATTCAGTGGTCCATAGAGTTTACGTTCCACTGTTGTTCTTTCTGGCCAAAAGGTTTGCCTTAATGTGTCAAATTCGGTGCAGTCCTGGAGTACATGCTCTGCGGTCTGGGGCACATTTCCACAGGTGCACATGGCTGATTCACCTATCTTGAATTTTGTGTACATGTGGTTACGTAATCGGTTGTGCCCTGTTCTGAGGCGGAAGATAATGACTAGTTCTGGTCTGTCCATAATAAAATAGTCGTCTTGTGCTGGGGCTGGTGGTTTCCTGATTGATTTAATGATTCTTTTCTTTTGGTGGTATGTGACTGGTACATCTGGCTGCTCTTTTTTCGCACCTTCCCCTGCCAGTTGATCAGCTTTCTCATTTCCAGGCACTCCACAATGAGACGGTATCCACTACATTACGACTCTTCGCTGAACGCTGAGTTGTGTCAGCAGTGTTTGCAATTCTGGTAGTTTCCTAGACTGGAGTGCTTCAAGTACTGATTTAGCATCTGTCGGCATTACCACATAGTGTGAGCCAAGGTTGGTATTTAGCAGTTTCTCTGTAGCTATCTTAATAGCCTGGGTTTCTGCATCGTAGTTATGGCAGTACTTCCCGGTTGGTACGCTGGACTTATCCCTAGTACCATCTGGGAATTCGATGTACACTCCAGCACCACCATTTCTAACTGCACTTTCTGCGGACCCATCTGTATAGACTCTGACCCATTGTTCTTGTGGGTATTCTTCATCAATATAACTGAGGGTGGCCATTTTGCGTTGTACACTATCTTGCTCTATCTTGTCAAATATCCCTTTCACATTTGTCTGGATTTGTACCGTTAGTTTACATTTTTCTCTCCATGGGGTTTGTTCCGGAATACTTTTTAGTGGGCAGCCAATTTCTGGAAAGTCAGGAGTTTGTCTACATATTCTTTTTGCTTTGTGTATAAAGCTGCTTCTTTTTAACCGTCCCAAGGCTAGGTTCTTAAATCTATTTTCCATCGGGTGATCTGGCATACTGAGGAACTTTTCAGCTTGTATTTGCAACTTTGTATCTCTGCGTTCTCTCAGTGCCTGTGTTTTCCCAGCTTTCTCCATTTCTAATATGGGGGTTGATTTCATCCCTCCTGTGATGACTCTGAGCGCTTGATTTTGCACTTTGTCTAACTCCTTTAATGTGGTACTAGATGCTGAACACCATGCAGTTGACCCATATTCCAAGTGTGGAAGTATGCTCTGCTTGTATACTTTATTGAGTATTTTCCCATCTGCTCCCCATGTGGTTCCACTTAGTTTTCTTAGTATTGCTGTCTTCCTCCTGGCTTTGGTTGCTGCCTTGTTGATATGTTTTCTCCATGTCAACCTGTCATCAAATGTGACTCCTAGGTATGTGGGCTCTTTATCATCTCTCAGGGGTATTTCG